TGGCTGGGGTTAAACCACAACAGTAAAAATAATACTTTTACCTACACATTGAGCTCTCTAATATATTGGTTACCAAAACTACATGAAGACTAGGTGATATTTGCCAAATAACAGGACTGTATTTGAAAAACCTGAACACGGTCAGGACCGGCCATAAAACTGGGTAAGAGCCCAGACCTGCTGTCTGTGTCTTACACAGAAAGCTGGTTCAGCTCCTGGCAGCCGATTGCCGCCCCAGCCAGGGGAGCCCAGCAGCATCCCAGCTTACTCAGGGGGCTTGGGCAGAAATGAGGGTAACTCTTAAGGACAACCTTCCATAACCACCCAAACTAGCCCTAGCCCTCCCAGCCCCCAGAGAAGCCTGACCCACCAGCCCCACCATGCAGGTATCTCCCAAAAGTCACATCCCTTGCCCCAAGGCAGGGCACTATTCAGACCCAGTACTTATACTTCCAAGGAGGATCAATCACAAACCCTAGGACCAGTGTTAAACAAGCAAATCCATAAATGACTGCACCTAAGAAATAATAATAATTAAAAAAACCCAACAATCCTCAACCTAAATGCAAGTTTGACTACATTTTACAGTATATCCCCTGTAGCAGCAAAGGGTTTGGACTATTTCCACGTTCATTTTTTGCTGCTGCTGTTCTTATAAAAACACATTGTTCTTTCCCAGTGACATTTCTTCGTATCTTTGAAAGAATGCTCTCCATTACTACAAAATATTTGGCTTGAATCCTCCAGTGAGGAGGAGCTCAGGGTTTGGCTCATGTTTTAAAAACAAAAGAATTATTACTTAAAACATAAAACAAATGACTGCAACTGTAACAGTAGATGGAGATAGAGCTCCTAGCACAATCTATGAATAATTCCGAGTCCTAATAGAAGTAACACAGCTTTCTGAATTTCCCTAGAAAACACCATGTCATTATTAGGTTCCAGATTAACTAAAATGCAAAATATCACTTTTTGCAGAGAAAAGGCTAAATCAAAGACAGTATGTAGTGTAACAACTAAACTGCAAAGCATATCTGCTTACAATCTGAAATTGTGAAAGACAATGTGTATACACATAAGCACAAAGATATTAAAAGATGGCTCTTACCTCCGTCCCCAGATCCTGAGCCGGCATCTGAGAAAAGAACAGAAAGAAATTTATATTCATGTGCTACAACATGTCCTGTAAGCATGCAAAGCAAGACTGTTCAGTTAAGTGTATTACAGTGTACCTTATGTTTGATGTCATCCCTGGGTAAATTAGAGAGATCTAATCAGAACGTAGTTCACTCAAGCCATCTTTCTCATGTCTCAATTCTTTTTCTTTAAAGTCTCTATATCAGACTAAAATAATGTAAGCCCTGGAGTGCTGTAACATCCTCATAAGACTCTGCCTCATTTTGTTGTACTGAGACTGATAAAGCTTTGTTCCCAACAGTTGTGCAAAACTTCTTCACTTGGTCACTACTAAACCCTCACCAATGAGAATTTTTAACCCATTTGTTTCAGGCCATACCAATTGGAAAGTCATGTCATTCTCTTTACAAAACAGTGACATCTCACCAGATCATAACTAGTTGGAATAAACTATTGAAATTATTATTATTCAAAGTCTTTAGATAAATTATTAAAACGCCGAGTTTCAAAATTGAGTGCTTTATCTTTATTTTTGCTCTGCTCGATGTTTTGTTGGCTGAAATGACGAGAGTCACAAATTTAGAAAGTGCAACATCACGAAACTGCCAAGCCTGGAGCTTCATTAAGAAACTTTATAAGCAAGGCAAAGCACAGAAATGCACACACATGTAGGGTTACCAAAAATAATCCAAAAGAGGAGTTTCTTCTGCAGGGACGGGAAGGAGGTTGTCATCCCATCCTCCCTCTTAGTGGAGGGGTTATCCATTTATCAGTATCAAGATTAATAGAAAGAGTTTGGCAAAGCTGTTTTGGGATCCAATTACCCTATAAACTGTTAGATCTAATTTACTGACAGCAAGGTCTAGTGGATCTGAACTGGCTTGTACATGCCATCACTGCTCAAATTTTAAAAAAGGAAAACCTTTGTTTAAATAAACCTGTCACAAGAATGGCTTAAAATGGTAGATTTACACAGTAAGACTGCATAGGACAGGTGCAAAAGGGTTTTGTAAAAGAGAACAGAAAATGATGGTGTTTTCCCAGTGACCATCTCCTGCATTTTCCTGATCTGATCTTCTGTCCTGATGCTCGTTCCCAAATGAGCTACTAAGGAAAGAGGAAAGAAATGTGTCTTCATTACAATGCCCTCGTGGCTCTGGGAAGCACTGCTTTTCCAGGTGTGCCAGGTCTCCCCAACACAGAGAAAGAAATTAACTCCTGCTATCACCCGCCTCCCGCAATGAATTGGCTCTTTGGAGGAAAAGGACCTCGTGTCTCTCCTCCTGCTCCTACCCTTCGATGCCCAGATCCCTGCCAGTCATGGCCAGGAGGGCTGCTCGCTGCCAGACCTCCCCACAGCCCAGGTCTCTGCTGGGGTCCTGCGTACCCTTTCTCTGCCCCATCCCACAGGGAAAAACTGAGGTACATGGCCACTCCCTTCTCCACTAAGCCTCCTCCTTGGGAGAAGGAGAAAGAGGCCAAATGATCAAGACCTCAGGAAAACTCTCTTCCCTCCCCCCCGCCCCGCCCCCGTTTCTGAAATCCACAATGTGTTTCAGAGAGAACGCTTCCAACACGGCCGTTGCCGGTAGGCAAGGAAGTTTAAGAAAAGATGTAGCAATAACTAAAACTATCTCTTTAATCAAAAAGTTTGAACCAAAAAAGACCAGTTGCTGTGCTGAGAGAATTTACTAAATTGAACAAATCCTATACCCCAACAGGTTTTGTCATCCGGAGCTCCATTTAATACCAGTTTATAGACAAAAAAATTGCAGCATATGGTTCTTCCCCTCTTGAAAATTGTCAGGTAACAGCTTCAGAGAAGAACAACATTTCCAAGGAAAGAAGCTTATTTTCTCTCAGGTGTACAAAACACAAAATTATGGCACTGCAAAAACTTTGTCTAATGCACTTTTTATTGACTCCTCCATCCTCAGCCAAGAAAAAAGTCTGCTTTAACTTTAAAGAACTCTCTCAAGAACAAAGACTTACTCCTCCTGCTCTTTTCAGGTTAACTTCACTGCCTACCTCTAAGAGATACTAAGCACAAAAGAAAAACATCAAGAACTCCTGCACATAAGCAACTCGGTTTTCCTGACTGATTTTGCTTATTCACCTTTCTAGCTGTTTCATAAAAGCAGAGATACAAATAGCTCACAATGCTCAGAGTTAAGCAAAGATGTCTCAAATGCCAGTCAGTTTTTACATATGCTCTTTAATTAATTCTTCCAACAAGTCCAGAAAACAAACCTGTTGCACAGACTTGTTCATTAAGAGTGTTTTGGGCCAAATCTTCAGGTATAAATTGGCAGGGCTCGTTACAACCAGTGGCCTGACGGATCATACCAGCTAGGAATCTGGCCCTATAAGCATAAGGAAAAACCTAAGAAACTGGATTGCAGGCAATAACGCTCCAGTTCTCTCGCTCCAGATTATGGGGAGGTTTGTGGTAATCCAGATGCCCATTTATCAGACATCTGCTTACTTAATCTGCCTCCAGATACTTGTCGTAACAGCTCAGAAGCGTATGCAGCACACAGGACGATCAGGACAAGATACGTATTAAAAAAAGAAATCAACTTCTGTGCTGCACTCTTCAAAACAGCGTCAAGGGTATACTGTATGATATAGACTGTGAGCCTATGTGAAGTTAGTTATTTAAAAGGGAAGGATAGCAGCAACTTCTCATGCCTAAGACTGCAAAGAATTAACCCATAATGAATTCAAAGCAGGGATTCAAATGGCTTTTGCCATCCACAGGTTAGTTAATTCATGGGCACGGCCAGGTCCGCAGGCAGTCTGGAGCGCGTTATACGTACCAGTCGCACAGGATCCTTCGGACACCAGGAGTATTTCACTCTGCTGCTTGCAGGCTGCCTGTTTCAAGTAGCATTCGTTCTGGTAGGTGTCACCGTTGGAGCCGCACACGGGCACGTAGTCATTGTTACACTGATGGGGAGAGACAGAGAGCGGCAGCGTTAGTCACACAAGTGGGTTAGCACAGCATCCATTTGGGTGCCTCCCTGCCCCCTTTCCAGTATTAAAACCCTGGGAAAACAACAGGGAGGGAGACACTGACCCTCCTCTTCACCTTTACAGCTGCCAGGGGAGAGGGAAGGGGAATTTTTAAAAAGACAAAAGGCAGAGGAGCATAAACTGGACTCGAATAGGTTAGGGAAAAGATAATCTAAACGGGCAAAGTGTTCAGCAAGTGCCCCCAGACAGGCCTCTCCCTGCGAGAACGAGTTTTGCATTCCTGGGGAAGGAATATGGGCAAGGCAAACGGCTTCTCGCATCTGCAATAGTGGCTCACGTGTTTCCACTGGATGGCTAGAGGCAAATTTTAACAAACAGGCTCGCTTTTCCCCTTCCTCTGCATATACACACCCTCACTGCTACAGAGACAGCTGTTTGCGTACACAGAAGTGTCCGCCTGTGTGTGCCTAACTCTCTATGTAAGTACTTTAGCTATAATTAGAACTGATTGGACAGAGGGAAATTATTTCTCAGAGACCTACAATCAAAACCTATTGCGTTCTCTGCAGAGACATTTCTGTTCCCGGTGAGCTGCGGTTGAGATGCTCCACAGAGGTCCAAGCTCTCCCCGCAGCGGCCAGCGGGCAGGAGCAGCAGCACCGCAGCGAGCTCAGCCAGCATGCCCAAGAGTGCAGAAGTTACTCACACCACACACCCCTCCTTCGGCTCAAACTCCTGCTCAGCTCTGCAAACTACCTGCTTTGTTCCCTCTACCACTGAAAGACAGCTCTGCCCTTTCTTGTTTATTTTAATAAAAATAATTCCATTTTATATTGAAAATTAGGCAACCTACCGGGTGCAGTTATCATAAGATGATCACACTCTGAGGCTTAGAAATACTTGGATGTACCCTGTACATGGTAATTACACCAGGGATATGATTATCTCATGATTACTGTATTCCTGGTATGCCTCATTGTTTAATTATAACAAATAGAATGATCACAATTATTATTTACAAATGCTCACCTCTGCTTAAATCCAAGTAAAAATTAAAAAGAAATCATACTTCCTATTTAGCTGTATTATGCCACAAAGTGTCTGAGGTGCGCTCCTCAAGAACAATGTAAAATGCAGAACTGAAATTCCAGAGATATAAACATCAAATATGCGTCAAAATGAATGACTACAGAAGTGATTAACACAAACAATTGCATAGATTGCATTAATTGCAGGCCTCCACACACAGCAGCTGCCAAGAAATTATTCATAGTTGGTCAGAGTGACATTTTGATTGGGCCAAATCAAATGACATTTTCCTTATGCATTGTGTTTTCCTAAATCTTCCCAAGCTGCTGCCTACCCCCAGCACTCTCTTCCCTTGGAACAAGAAAGAAAACCAGCAGCCACAACAGTAGAAATCCTCTCCTTCTGCTCCAAATGAAGGGCTCCTCCATGCAGAGATTTCAAATAGTTGATTAAAAAGTGCTTCTACACTATTTTCAGCATTATGTTCCAAATCTAAGCAATGTTTCAAGCAGAAAATGCCAACTTCATCCAGAAGCTCAACAGCAATTGCTAGAGGCTGATCTGGAATATTTAACCAGGACAATTAACACAATCATGCAATTTTTTAAAGCATGAAGGATCAAATCATGCTTGCTTTAGACATACTATCTGCTTGTCATCCATGGGACTTTTTGCCAGAGCAATCTGTGCAGAATTTGGCCCAAAGCATATCAACAGGTTCTGTTACATGTAGAAACAATGTTGCATCCTGCTCCCAAGAAACACAGTGGCAAACTCTCTGCTGGTTTTGCCTAGAGCAAGAGACGATCTTTTACACTGACTCAGCTGCAAATCTGAAAGGCCAGACGACCGTACGTTAACAGCATACAGCATCAAGAGTGAAATCCTGATCCACAGAAACGAGTGACAGAGCTGCTACAAGCTAGGCTGGAACGTCTTCTAAAGCTTGGCAATTTTAAAACACATTTGAGAGACACCAGGGCTGCAGGAAGGATAAACTCTCCCAGCAGAAGTTTCCCCATCTCTCCTGTGGTTCCTGCCACTCTCAAGCTTGGCGTCAGCCAGCGGAGGTAGAGGGTACTCCATGATGAGCGCAGGTGATGCAGCCTTTTCTTTCTCAAACTGTGCTGGTCAAAGATGTATTTCTTCACCTGCTGCCCACTCTTCCCACCACCTCCTTTGGACAACTAGTATTTGGATGGAAAAGGCAGGAGCCACAAGGAACAAAAGAAGTGAGATCTTCCAGATGGAAAGATGGCTTTGCGCTGGGATGGCTCTGAAAGCCACCAGGAAACCATAGTGGAAGTTACCCAGGGAGGAAAACAAGACCACCGATGAGAAGGCTGTCATGTCAGTCACCAGGCTACTCCCAACCTGCTAGAGCTAGACTCTTGTACTTGACCATGCTGAATCCAGTACTCACAGCTCTTCACCGTCATAAAATACTTCTTGCTAGTACTAGAGAATACTGGACATTGACTGTCAGTCTCCCCAGTCTAGTGACATGTTCTTGGCATTGTTTTAGGCTTCAATAGACCAAGCCCTAGATGTGTGAGATTCTCCATCCTTCAAGCAAGGAGTGATCAAGCGCTCGGGGAAATCCATGTCAAAACTCCTACCAACCCAGCAGCACAGTGCCATACTGTCCACTCCCCTCTTATACATGCACGTTTTTAAAATACAGTTGTAGAGCAGGCAAACAGATGTATCCAATTCAGTCAAGTATCAGTCAAAGGCTGCTCTCCTCAGCCCTAGCAGCCTTGAGTGCCCACTGCCACAGCCAGAGGCAAACCAGCTTTGCATGCATTGGGGGTTAGTGCTGGGCACTACAAGCATAAGGTTTGTTTTCTAAAGAAAATTATAACTTGTGTAACTCCTCCTCCTGGTAACACTGTTGAAAGTTTGACCTCCTCCTACTTTCATGGATTAATTACTCCCAAAATGCCACCGATGTCTTGGACCAATTAGCACGAAAATACATTCTGGAAATATAATATAAAGCAGCAACATGGCCAGGTGATATTCCAGCTCCACAAACACTGAAGCATGTGAGGGATTCAACACACATGAAAACAGGACGACTCCTTCACATAAAAAAACTGTGAATGTCCACAGTCTTGGTGACTAAAGAGAAAAGACATGCAACACGGATGGAAATACCTTGCTACATTTTTGGATATGTTCATGAAATCTAAGAGGGAAGAGCACCCAGGCTGCCAGACCTATGGCTTTGGGTAGACTCGGGAACAGAACCCGGTGAGCCATGTCTCCAACCTCTAACCTGCGGGCATAGCTCTGCACCTTCTGGTACACTCCTTGGGGTTTGCTCTGTGCAGGGAGGCAAGGGGTAGTGGCTTCCCCCATGCTCAGTCCCACTGCTGGTGCTAACACTGGCCCAGTGCCCAGGGCCTTCCCTCCCTGCCAGCACCAAGGTCTGGGCTTGCCCCGAGCAGGGGACGGGTCTGCATTTACCGATCAAAGTGGGACATGGTGTTTTCCAATGCAATACATGTCTCATCGTGACGAGTCTATGAATGGGCTATCATTTTGCAGTAGAGTACAAGAGAGCCAACCAATGTGAATTCCTTTCTCAGCACATGCCTGCTGGCTCTCCAGGGATGGAAGCCTAACTCAGGTGTTCCAGAGCAGACTGATCATATTCACCTTTTCAAATAAAAATAAATTAATTTTAACTCTATTTGAGCAGATATGATGCATCTGCGATTCTGGTTTGAAAAAACCCAAACCAAGATTGCAGCAGCACGTCTCCTCACTTCTGCCTCCCCTAGACCCTCAAGACATAGGCTGGCCAGCCCAGGACTTTTCAACGGTACAGAGGCAAAATTAGCTTTCCGTCCTTGTCTGTTCTCTCAAGCTGCAGTTAAAGCCCCTGGCAAATTCCAGAGAAAACATAAAAAGTAATTATACCGATGAGGAGTCTGCTATTGATTTGCTCACTATCACCCCAGAAAGCTGTCACCGAAACAGGGGACCAGAATCCTGATGGAGGACCCCCTAACTCGTGACATAAATTACCTGGCTGGCTCTGCCTTAGCCAGCCAGCCTCAGACACCACACTAGAAATTAATCTTCTACTCTGGTGGAATATCATTTTGGCTTGTCACATTGTCCACTGATGTTACAAGAGAAGCTAACATCCCCCCAAGCTCTGCCTGTATCAAAGCGGACGCGTTTGACTACAGAAGCCCCCGGCACCGCACCGCCCTTCGCAGCACTGGCACAGGATCAGCCACAGGTAATGTGCCCTCCAAGGTCAGCCCTGCGGCTCCACAGAGGGCTCAAATCAAGACAAAGAGCTCCAAGTGTTTACAGGGCCTGATCCAAAGGCCGCTGAAACCAAAGATCACTGCTGATTTCAACCCATTTACTAGTGATTATGCCCACAATTGCCCAACTCATTCTTTTGATCTCATTTACATATTCATATACCAATTATCTGATTTCCTTAAATCTGTTTCACTGCTCAGCTCAGTATATATATAGCATTCACCTCTCAAACTGGAGACAACATAGCCCAGAGAGGTTGGCTTAGCTTCATTTACCCTGAATCACCAGGGACCAGCATCCTGCCTCGAGAAAACAGTGCTCCCAATGCCTTCTTCCCTGCAGACAGCAACACCTGAGCTTGCTCCTTCTAGGCTACGAATCCTCTGCTTTATGCCAAACGGCAGCACCAAACTGGGACCAAAGACAAGACCCAAGAGCTCCCTGTGGCTGCTCTAAGTTCCCAGTGCTCATGGCACAACATCTGCCCCTAGCTTACCACCAGGCAATAGGACAAGTCACAGACATTTCACTGCATTATAGATTTTTCTTAGAAAGAGGAAACAGACCAACCCCTAAGTCACCGCACATGCTGGGCCAAGGCAAATGCTCAAAAGAGCATTCTCATATTGAATTTTGGATTGCATGCAAACTAGAAATGGAATTAAAAAAAAACATGGTCAATATGAATTCTCTCCCAACATGGGAAACACAACTGCTTCAGCAAACAACTGTCTTGTTCTTATTACAGAAAATTCTTTGTTTTAAATGACGGAATTTATCACTTGGGTCTTTTCTCTGAAGACACATTTGGTTCTAGAAATATAAACGATACTAGTCATGCTTCAAAGCGAATAGTCTACCAGAGCTCAGTAATAACTTAATCATTACAGATGTGCACTATCTTGAACTGTTCACTATTTGGCCTGCTCTATTGTAAACCCTCAAATCAGTGTTACAAGTTCCAAAACTTCACAAATCCACATTAAAATGCAAGAAACCACAGGGGCATAAACGTACATACAACACGTGCTAGTACATGCTTGAAACGCCTTTAATTTGTTCAGTTTTTATTCAGGTCATTATGTAAAGCACAGCTGTTTTGTGAGTTGGCTAAAACATATTCAGTGGAATCCTTCATAACGAAATCGTCTGACTTTGAGAACGCCTGAGGTTTAGATGTAGCTGCAGGAGGCAGAGAGAAGAAATAGAAGGAAAAACCCCTAGTACTCAGCAATAGCCCCCCTAAAACTATATAAAACCTAAAGGAAGTTCATGGTTTTGGAACAGAGGGATTGCTCCTTAATCTGATCAGCTGGGCAGATAAACAGGCAGAAGCATTGTCACTATGCAGTCCTTCCTGAAAATATTGCATAAGCACATTATAGATCCATTTCTTTAACTAGATCAGAACTCCGAATAAAATAAGCCATCATCTGTATCAGAAACGAATTTAGAAAGGGCTCTAAATCCTTGTTAAAATGGCAGAGACGAAAAATCAGAAATGCACAACCTGAAACTGCAGACCCAAAGGGACATTTAAAGCCACAGCATCTGCATTTTCCCAGAGAAACTTATGTCTTCTTGACACCAGTTGGTTCTCCTGCCAGCTTTTATACATGCTGCCAGGTTTTCCCTCCAACTTCTCTGCACATAGAGAAATAAATTGCCAAGTGATAGGTTATAAAGGGAGATCTTGATTTGTATTCTCATTAGTGAATTAGAGAATGAAATATCAATCTTCTTACCTTGAACTGACAGACACAAGTCACACTGTCTCCAATCCTTAAACACTCCCCATCAAATTTACAGGTATTGGTGTCGCAGAGAAAGAGATCATTTTCTCTGTCATCGTAACCTCAAATGTAAAGAGGAAAGAAAAAAATGTCAGTTTTGGTCTAGCAAGAGGGACAATACGGGATGACTGTATTTTAATGCACACAGCACAATAACCTTGTTGATGAAATGACAGAGTCCAGATTTTCTTTTGTCCTTCCCTGTCCTCAGTTTTCCACTTTTTCTCGTTTCTCCCCTCAGTCTTTCCCTTAGTTCTTATTCCCCACTCTCTCACACACTTTTTTCTATTTCACAGACCCTGTTTCTTCAAAAGTCATCCGGTAATTATGCTATTTCATGGCTCTGGGGTGGAAATGTCATCAACTTATCCCCATCCAATTGCAAATCTGTTGAACAAAAGTCCAAATTGGAATTTCTCCATCACACGATGCAACAAAGCCCCCAATAATAAAGACAAACAGGCTGTGTGTTTTCTGTGATGGTCTGCCTGATCCCAATGAAGATTGATCG